CTTCGGTATGTCATCCTATGTCCAAAATTATTTGCAGCTTTTTATTATTCCGTTTCACTCTAGGCAAGCACCAACAAGATAAGGGCGCATGAAGTTCACAATGGCGATGGTTATTGTTGCCTACATTTTACTGCCAGCAATTTACATTTTACTGCCCCCCCCCCACTGAAAAAAATTTTGGCTATGCGCCTGACTGTGACATATACGTTTACATATACACACAAACAGTATGTATAGTCACGCACATATATACACAACGAAGGCATTCGTAATGTTTCATTAAGTCAAGTGATCTTCAAAAACAGCGACGGTGCTTTTGTGTTGGGCATTGCACAACCGCTGTCTTGCCGAAAAGGTGCAGCACCTCCAAGCTCAAGCCATGTTGCAAGTGTAGTGCTGCCTTGAGAATTTGCACTAGAGGGAATTGCATGTTGTTATTCTGAGGCACATCTCTAGCAAGTCTCGCCCTGCAGTCCTTGTGTCTTCACTGTCTGTCCGCATTTCTCTCGCACTGCCACTTTTCAAGATGGTGCAGCTCATTGTTAAAAGAGATATGCTTCTTGACACGTGCTACCCTATCTTTGAACCTAGACTGCGCCGTCGTGTCAGCAAACAAGGTTGCGCAGCTGCATGTTTTACAATGCAAAGACAGGTTAGAATATGGCTGTCTCCTTAGTGAAGCTTTATGATCCAAAAGAGTGATTTACACAATGTTCAACTTCTCCAACATAATGCTTCCCGCACAAAAAGAACGTTCGCAGTTATCAGAAGTGTGTGAATAGTGAATTTCGGAACCTAATCAAGTAAGAGTCAAATAGTAATGGCACCAAATAGAATACAAATAGTAATTGAATACTGTTTGAATAGTAAGTAGACCATTTTCAAAACAGCCTTAGAACAGAACATTTTATTTGAAACAAATAGTCACAAACTTTCGACAAAGGCCATTACAGTCAGTTTGAATCTACTCAAAATACCACAATTACGAAAACTAAGGTAATCTCGTATGCAGCAGGAACTAGAATATTCGTAACATTTTGTAATTGTAGGTTCAACTACGGCATTGACTAGCGTTATCAACGTGAGACTTTGTCACCTCACTTTAAATAAAATTGGGACACAAAAACAAAACAATTTACAACCAAACATTGCAGATACAACTAAATATGTAACGGAGCAGATCAACCCGTCATCACAACATGGCCTGCGCACTAAAAGCGGATAACAATGGGCGTTGAAATTTACATCTGCAAGAACAATTTACGCAAACGCAAAACTTGTATCTGTTGCTAGTCGTGAAGCTGCAAGCACTCGTAGTTCCCACCTTTGGTTATTACAAGACGAAGACAGGAGCTGATAAATGCGATACAGCTAAAGTGCAGTAAAAATTGAGCAAGAATGGAGCTTTCAGAAGCGCATTCATTCGACAATCAATATAGTGTAGGTAGTCTTGCAAAAGCTTGGGCTGCGTACAGGTCACATTAGGGATTGAAAGAATGACTTGTAGCTGTTTCGTTGTTTTGGGGTTCTCCCGCCAGTGCCGATTATTAAAAGAATATTTGTTACTTAGAATATGTGCAATTCGATTCGACTTAGGAACCGAATACAGTGCTGTTTGATTCATTATCCAAAATTTTCGAATAATCGAACATCCCTAGCAATTATCCCTGAAAGCTACACATATGAAGTACTAAGGAAAGGTTCATGTGCTACTGCAAGACTTGGGTCACGTTACGTCGCTTCCTTCTTTCCTACTAACTGTGCTTTGCTTTTTTGTTTAGCACAAGAAGGCTTCTGTGGAAGAAGTTGGCTGAGGCCATCAATACGGAGTTCTTGTGCAACGTGACTGCCACACAAGTGGAAAACAAATGGAAGTCGCTGGACAGAGCATATAAAAAGTCAAAAAAAGACAACAATTCTTCAGGTCACCACCGTGTGAACTGTGAATATGAAGAGTAAGTTACGATTGTGTCTTCATATCTTCAGTGATTCTCATAGTGTCTATTACAGAGAGCTGGCAGAAGTCTTGGAAAAAGAACATAGTGTAAATCCAAGGCTGCTCTTGGAGCCTGGAAAAACAATCCTGCCTAGTGCAAGTCCAGAGTAAGTAAAAATTACTTAATTTGTGCTGTAGCCTGGAAATGACATGGCACCTGTACAATTACTTTCAACAGCACCAGCATCACTGAAGCACCTCAAGATGCAGCAGTCCCAGTCGAGTGCAACACAGCATCCAAAGTTCGGAGCAGCACAACGCCAAAAAGGAAGCGCCAGAGTAGGTCCCAAGTCACGCCGCTCTTGGAGGCATTAGAAAAATGCAAGCTTCGAGAGCTAAGCAAGAGGAGGCAGCAGTGAAACAACTGGAGGAAAGAAAAAAATGGGAAGAGGCAAAGGCAAAGCGGCATGATGAGCGCATGCAGCGATTCGATCGGTTGATCGACGTACTCTCAAATAAGGACGGGTTATAATATGGGCAATAAACTTTTATAACACTAGCAGTGTCTACTCCATCTAATTTGTTAAAAAAAAACATTGCTTCTAGACGCGGCACCCCACTTCGCAAAACATTTGCACACTGAATAAATCGCGAAGCAAAGATGAACTTCTAGCACTGTTCCTTTGCAATGAACTCTCGCAGAGACTGACTGTAGCCTGGCAGACTGCAATCAAAATCTCCTTCACTTTCATCATTGCCCACATCTTCTTCTTGGGGAAGCGTTGCAAGTTCCTCAAGGAAGTCCCTTTCATCGTTGCACATGTTGTGTAGCACACACGCAGCCATAACTATATAGCAGCACTGTTGCACACTTTTTGCATCAACAAGGTAGAGCCTCCTAAAACGCTGTTTAAGCAGGCCGAAGGTGTTCTCAATAAGCACTCGTTGTTGACTGTGTCGTTTATTGAAGCTCTTTTTCCACGTAGGAAAAGAACTTCCATTGTCCTTGAATGGGGTCATGAGCCATGGCATCAGTGGATATGCACTGTCACCCAGTATATAATTGTCTTCACATTCCTGAATTGCGCGTGCAAAGAAGGGGCTCTCCCTCAGGACACGGGCGTCGTGAACCGAACCTGGAAACCCAATAAACACGTTCAGCAACTTGTTCCTGTCGTCGCAGATTCCTTGCAGGATTATCGAAGGCCACTTTTTCCGGTTGAAGTAAGACTGCGTAGATTCGCTTGGAGTGAGTATCCCGATGTGTGATCCATCGATACAGCCGATGGTGTTTCTTGGGCCCTTGCCTTTACTTTTGGCGAGGAAGCCGTTCTTTATGCGGGTCACTTCCGCGCTACTAGGCCAGCAAATTATCTCATCGCTAATAGCGTGTAAGAAGTGAACGACCCGTGTCACACAAACATGAACAGACGACTCGGTAACATCGAATTTGTCGCCTATGGCGTACATAGATATTTGTGAGCCTAGGTACACAAGCGCTATGAGGCATGTTTTTTCGGCACTGATTTGTTGGCGGCCTTGCACTGCCCTTGGGTAGAAGGCTGAAGTCTTGAACTTGGCCCTGAAACTATCAAAAGTCTCCCTGGACAGCCTGAAGAGGCGCTTGAATTCATACTCATGGTACCTGCCGATAATGCTTTCGTACCCGGGTACACGGTTGGCATCGTCGCGCACCAACGCGCACGCGACCAAGATGCACGCATCGTCGTACTCATCGTCGCAGTCACTGCAAACGGCACCGCTGACGGAATCGTCGTCGCTGCTCGAGTCCAGCAATTCCATCGCAGTCACAAGAAGTGCCATCACGGCCGTGTATTGATCGGACAAGGCGGCGGAGGCGGCTATTTTAGGCTTACACTACAAGGTGTTCTCCGGCCTGCACTCACGTCAACTCACGCCTTCGTTTTGGCTGTAGCCGTCGCGCGCTAGTGTCGGCTAGTGCCGAGGCGTGGTTGAGGCTGCACCTGCACTTGCTCGACCGGCGCTGCACGCTCACTGCACCGCTTGGCACCGCTTTTTCTGCACCTGCACTTTTCTGAACTAGTGCAAGCCAAATCGAAGATTCCTACAGTTTCTGTATCTAAAGGTAGTATACACCTTTTCACAGGAAGGAAAAAAACATCGCCATGATGGGCTGTGCACGGGAGTACAAAGGCCAAAAGGCGCAGCGTTTCCAGTGCATTTTCGAGGGGACGCGCCATTTTGCACAGCCCAAGGAGGCCTATGGCGGCGCCCAGGGAAGCGTTTATGAGAAGTTCAATATACAGTATCTCTACATTTATACAGGGAGCCTTTACGTGCGCGCCAGCTCCGGAGGCCGTGAAGGCTCCCTATAAACAATTTGACTGTTTATAAACACAAGCCCTTGATGACATCCGGTGCCCTAATACCATCGGTGGGCAAGAAGAGCTTTAAAAAATAGCCCGCTCAATTTCTACACTTTTTTTTTTTTGGCTAAATATATTCAAATGAATATTTTTTTGAGCTACATCAAAATGATAGATTCTTTTTAACTTTACGCACGTTCTTTTTAACTGAAAAACTTCTTGCCGTACCCTTGAAAAAACTAGAGGATAGATTGGAATGAAATGAAAAAACTTTATTTAAAAAACTTGAGAAGGTGCTTTTATTTTCGAAGCTAGGAGCTGGTGAATGAGGTGACCAAAAGTCTTTTCTGGGTGCAACGCCTGCGACTTTGAAACAGTCTATATGAAAATGAAATTGGCATGAGGAAAGCATGAGCGCGAGCGTTACCAGTGTCATACTTAAAATGCCTATGAACTTTCCTGGGCAAAATGACACCGCCATGAATGAACAAACCTAAAAGTTTGCTGCCCCTTCCCAATGGGTGATACGAGCATATCTGCCAATGTTGCCTACAAAAAAAAAAACACCATGCAAAACAATAAAGGACACAGTGTGCTAAATACCGAGCCAGCTATTCAATAAGCACTTCCGTATTTTTGCCATATATTAAGCTTTTATTACAAATCCTTAAAGCTGTGCACGTGCATTCCACTCAATATTCTGAAACACACCCACATCTGTACGAACAAGTCTTTATTCAAAACACTGGCTGAAATGATGCTCGGAGGATCTTCACACACCCCTGAACGAGCAGGACACACAAGGAATGATTAGACTTGCAAGTCTGCCACGACCGGTCGACAACAGCGATCATGGAGGCGAGGAAACCAAGGTGCCACGAAAATGCAGGACAGGAAAAAAAAAAAAAAGAGAGGGAACAAAACGATGATTTTTCATCCATTTCTCGGACAAGCTTGAAAGCCACGCAATGTGGCGCTGCTGACTGGTTGGAAAGGGACAGACACTATGTCGATGCGGGGACAGATTCTGGTGGTGGCGGCACTTCCTTGTCGGCTTCGATGGCTGTTTTAGACTCTTCCGGGGTAGCGGCCTCCTGGCTGTTCTCGTCGGAGCGGTTCCAGACGCCTGGCTCCAGCGGATCGTCCTTGCCTGGTTCCTTGGCAGCGCTAGGTGGAGCGTTCTGGAGCGAAATACCACAAGAGAGAAGTTGAGAAGAGGAAAGAGGGACTGCAAATCTCTGATCCGTAACAGACAACTTTAGCATCAGTTACCGTTTTTTTTTATTCTCAATGACTTGCAAGCACCAACTCCGTCTCATACATAGGTGTGTGCAGGGTTCGCCTTAAAAGGGGGAGGCATCACCTTGGCCCTGATCAGAGCACACGTCCATGCTCTTTTACAAAGAACATTGTCTGCAAAGCATACGTTAAACCTGTACAAACACGATCAGGTTTACAGCTATACCTGCTGCGTTTCACATGACTTGCATTTTGGTATGAAAGAGAAAAATAAAACGATACAATGAAAAAATTTTTTTTGTAATACTAGTAATATGTCTTTCCTATGGCATACGGACCTCCGCTTTTTCTTTCCTCTTTAGTTCAGCAATCCGAGGCTTAAACAAGATGCAAATTAATAAAATGCCAAATAACAATGCAACATTGTATGGTATGTGTGCTCGTCAGACCAGGCGATGTGTCCATCACTTTTCCAGCAAAAAAATTGCTGCACTTTGCCTAATTATATGATCATGAATTCGTAAAGCTTGCTGGGAGGCTAGTTACATCTTGTGAGAGTAGGCCATGTAACAAAACTTATTTAGACTTTATCAGGAATGTTCACCAATCTTATGGACAAGCAACACCATGCATCATAGCCAGTTTGAAAACTTTGAATATGTCTAGAGTGTTCTGTATCAAATAGATTCTTGAATCTAACAAAAAATTCTAAGCACTGCTTCTACAAATGAAGTTATCAGTGACCAAGAACTGTCACTACTGTTCTAGGGAAAACCTCACGCCCTTGCTTAAATAAATTAAAAGATGAGTTCTGCAACAGCACTCTTAAGAAGGTATTTTTGCATCACGGTAACTTGAACATGCCTTGAGTCTGCAAACTGGGGGGCAGCAGTAACAACTTAACGTCTCTGTACCAATTAAAAACCTTAAAAAATGTTAAAAACTGTTTACTGTGTAGATAAAAACATCAGCAACGATCAAATCTTTGTTGAAACAATTCTGAAGAATGCACACTTCTCTCCAAAAATGTTGTCTCGGTTAAAGTATTAGCACTCTCGGGCAGCACTTATGATTTTGGCTAATGGAGGCAGCATGCCCCATTCATCAGCAAGCTTATACATACCATAATTGCTGCCATTAGTTTCCACTCACATATCCATGGCTCCATATTATATCCAACATTGCAGTATACCGACATCCTACACAAGCACTGCTGACTAGTTGTGACGCTGGCTGCGAAGCTACTAAATCTCGTCTCCGATTTCGGATGTGTGCTAGCACTCATCCTACCAAAACGACCGCCATATCTTTGGGGGGGGGGGGGGCTGCAGTAGTCGGAGTGAGTACTTACAGTATTGTTCTGGGCAGCCATGCGTTCAAAGATGTGTTTGTACATCTGGCGCTCCTTCTGTAGCTGCTGCTTCAGCTTGACAGTGCAGATGCTGAGCTGGTTGCGGGCAGCCTTGTTGTTTGAGTCTATCTTCAGCACTTCCTCAAAGTCCTTGCGGGCAAGCTCGAAATCATTGGTCGCAATGTATGCCTGGGAAGAAAATAATCACAGAACACATATAATACGATGGACCAAGGCATGTCATGCACAAATGAGCATTAGCAAAAGAAGATCACATCTGGCAAGATTTATTCATTTATTTTTTGTGGGCAGCGCAACCCACTGACAGCAAGTCAGAACGACAAGAAGTCATTATTCTCATGACAGGGTTCGGCTCATGCTCGACATAGCAGCAACAGTGTGTTTGTATGTATACACCATCGAAATACACAAAAGGTCTCAAGTTTGAGAGCAACAGTCACTTTCATTACACATTTGCTATTACACTCAAACCTCACCATAACAAACTTGCATCTCACATAGAAATAAGTTCATTACATGCTAAAATTCGTTATAAAGGTTTGTTCTTAACACTAAATCTATTGCGGGACTATTTTTCATTTACTTTGTTATAATCGATATTTTGTTATATCCCGATTAGTTATATTGACATTTGAGTGTATTCTCGAGCTTAAAACGCATCAAGCCGCTATTGTAACACTACGTCAGCATAACGTATTTCAGTGAATTACAACCCAAAGATATAATCCTATTTGTCAAAATGTTGCCAAACATTTCTTCAGCGGGTATGCTTATTAGAAGGCTGGCCCAAGCACCCGTTTTTTAAATCAACGGGAGCTTTGAAACATCCCTCGGGCACAATATACAAACTAAAAAAGAAACAAAAAACAGCAATCCAACTTCACCCAAAATTAAATGAGAAAGAAGCCACTTATTTCTACAGGTTGGAAACAAGTACACCGCCATCATAAGAATTATCATGCTCGAGATTCCCCCAGAATACTTCTGACACCTATTATAATTTCGTGATGTAGCAGGCGCCGTTAAACATGTGGTGCAGGTGTCTCCGCACCATCAGAAAATCACTTAATGTGAATCTTGAAAACTGCCACAAGCCATCAAATAATTATGGCAGAGAGCTTGAATAATCAATGAAGTCTGTTGAATTGAGTATGGGCCATGACTTTAGACTACAGCTTTCAGGTCTGAGAGAGGCACCAACATCACTTGAAGAAAGAACACATTCTCGTCGTTTCACACTACAAATATTTTATTCCCCTTCTATAGAGTAAGAACTAAGACTTAAACTTCCCCGTCAAATTTTGTATTATGCATGGCACATGCAGTTCAGAAGCAAAATGTGGAGTTGCAGTTTTTCTAACACACTTCCTCAACAGAGGCCTAATCCCAGAGGCAGGCTAACTTTAAACTGCTAACTGCTGATGACATCTGGCAGATTCACAGATAGAGCTGCTATTAGCATAGTTCAAAGTTGAACTCTTTCCAAACACAATTTCTGAACAGAGGCCCGATCACAGTGGCAGGCTAGCTTCCAAGGGTTAACTGCAGACAACATAGGGCAGATTCAGAGGCAGAGCTGCCATTGGCCAGATGTCAACAGGAGGGCCCTCCCAATTGTACTTTGGCAAGAAAATGAACCTCTCCGTACTCCAGCCTCATAAAAATGGTGGGCCTCTACAGGAGACGTAGCACAGTCAGAGCAAAAACTGAAGGAGTGGCCTTTCTAGCACCTGAAGTAAAATTTCTAGGGGGCGACTGCTGCAAGCGCAGTTGCAAGGATTTCATTGCACCACAAATCATCATAGTTTTGCGAAAAGGAAAGTAACCACTACACCATAACTCATCATTCTGTGGAGAGAAGTGAGGTGCTCACTACACATCTATATGGCAATGTGCACACTCTGTTGATCCTGTCATGACAAAAAACTAAGGCTCGGCCCTTTGTAATGACTGGGCCGCTTTAAAGCACCCACTCGTGAGGCCTGGCCATACCTTACTTTTCAGTGCGATTCTTTGCCCATCACGACTCCTATACAAGGTCTTTAATATTTGTTGTAAAGGAGTTCGAAGCACTGGCATGGCTCTGAAGTAGAATAGCCAACCACTATGCAAAATATCTGAGTTAAATCCCACCGTATCCTCGACATCTCTTGTCATTGTAAGAAACTGTGGTAAAGGACACCAGCGGCAGACAACAATGCCTTTAACACCAGCTCTTGTGCTGTCATAACAGCTTTCACAATTAGAACAGTGCAACTGAAAATGGATGGAGAGCAACACACGCACAGCTCTGCATGTTCCTCTCCATAGGGGGGCTCAGTTATGCTCTTCAAACTACCTAGCTTTCCAACACAACTTTCGCCAACTCCCGCCCCTCTCTAACGGGGTTGACGTCACCTGGAACTCGACAGCAAGGAGCCCTGCAGTCGGTGAGTCACAGCGATTAATCGCATGGCCTCGGAAGGAGCAATAGTGGGCAGTGCGACTAACGGAGTAATAAAGGCATTATCACCTGTCCCCTGCGAAACAGGGCCTTCTCGGAGCGGGGATCCAGCCCGAGTGCACTGTTGCAGGCACGGATGGCCTCCAGAGGGTCGTTTAGCTTGCTGTGGCACAGGGCCATGTTGAGGTGGGTGGCAAGGAGCAAAGCGTTTCGCCGCTCCTTGAGGTCACCTTCGAGGGCGTCGTGCTCTAGGAGGGTCACCGCTCGGCGATACTTGCCCAGCGCCAAATCGTACTTCTCAGCCTGAAATGAGGAGCATCAATCATTCAGTCTTGACTAGGCAGTTGACTGAATTAGAAACATCGTCGACGCAGACCACGTTTGAGATGCATCGCAAGCCATCAGTGCGTTATCTACACCTGAACCTCAGTGATATGTTTCTGGGGAAAGAAAAGGTAAAGGAAAAGAAAACAAAAAAGTGAGTAAAACCACACTATCTGAGAAATTATCGCAAACATTGAAAAACAAGAACACATAAATGAGGGTCTCCTGTACCTTATCTCTCAGGCAAGTTAGTTCTATACTCGCCTTGTGAATGCCCATTTGATTGGTGGATGTATATCTTTACTGAATATATGCTCTAACTACTTTTTCCTGTACTACAGTACCAGTATTACAGTATATTCTCATTAATCGGAACCTGAAGGGACTAGGCAAACATATTATTTTACACAGAAGTTCTATTTACCGTGACATGAACCGAGTTGCAGCATTCAAGTATGAAAACAATCACATAAAAGACAGTGTTTTCATTTAAAGACACGATATTTAAAGAGACACAATATTTAAAGTCAAATAATTTATGTCAGAGCGAAACCTCAATGTATGAAAACTTCTAAAACAACAATATTAACAGCAGTGCCCGACATACCAAGAAATTAAAGTGAATGCACAAGAACGTAGATGAAACAAGTTTCCAAGGTACTGACACCTTTCCTCCACACCTATGTTCCTGGAGCGCCCCCTAGAAGGTTCAAAACTTTCATCCAAAAGCGTATGTTTGGGATCAGTTGCTACAGTGAATAGGTGTAAATGAAACAAAATTGAACAAAATGAGCCGTAGAATAAACTGTTGCCTTTATGAACATAAGCGGTACAACACAAGAGCAAGTGGGATGTGCGTTACTCAACTGGCAACGTTGTGCAGTTCTATATTTTACATGACTAGCCATGGCGTTTCGCTTCATATATCATAGTTCGTCCAGTTATAACTAGTCCAGTTCTCCGAATGTGCTTTGTTCGTACTGTGACACAGTGAACGCGCTTCTTGCTGGATCCTGTCAGTGACCACAGGAAGTGACATTGTGACGAGTGATTACAGCCGGCTTGTGCACACGCAAGGAAAACCATGGCCAGACTGGTACGAACGCTTGAGTAGCAGAAGCACTGCGATGAGTTTGTTAGATGTGCCCGTTTTGACCATCGTGATGCCAGGTGATTCTGGTGCGGTGCGCGTATCTTCCTGAAAAGTGAGAGTCCTACTGGTGAGTTGTCCCGAAGCAGCCCATTTCGGCTCCTTTATGCCGTGTTCTTGTCAACTTGTCAAGCATGAAATGTTCCTGAAGGTGTGTTAATTACACGCTCCAGCTGATTTGTATACGTGCATACGCACAAGTATTTGCAACAACTGACATGCACTAGATGCAGATTAGACGTGCTCCTGGCGTTTCAATAAAAACCGACAAACAAACTTGCTTCGCAGATTCGTGTTGAGGTTCGTTGACGGAGTTGCACAAAAGCGTTCACTTGAAATCTTTCATACCTACACTTCACAGCGCGCTTCATCTCCAATAGCACAAAGTAAGTTGAAGAGAGCGGAACTGTTTTACGGAACTGTTTTACGGCAACCGAGCATAGTTGAACAACTCGTACATTGCATTGAATGAGCGCCGCAAAACAACCTTGGCCGACTTGGCGACAACTGAAGCGCTCCTCTTCTTCAGTTTATGTCCTGGCTTCGATTTCGTCTTTGGTCACGGCGAGAATACAGCTGCAGCCATATGCACATGCGTACTCGTTTTGAACCTTTTGCATAATAATAAATAACACCACCAGCCATTTGCAAGATCACATGCAACGAATGCACCAGTTACAGACGCGGATTTCAGAGAAACGGAGGGGTAAGCGAGAAAGTGAGGAGGATGGCTCGAGAACAATGAGTGACGCTACCTTGTAAACTTGTTTCATCCTCTAGAAACCTCACTACGCGTAGGACATCAGTGAAATGATCCCGATGACATGAGAGGTACCACCTACAATTATTAACTAGTAATCGAACTAGCTGCACTAAATAAAGAACCTTCCATGCATCAACAGACGCAATAAAATGCTGCTTGTTTGTTTCTATTTGATTCATGGAAAGAAGAACCACCAGACGTTACTATGGGGAGTGGCGTGAGTGATTCAATAGTTCAATTCTCGCCTGGTTATACTGGACAGGTCGTGCCATCTAGCCGGGGCTTAGTTGAACCAACCATGTTTGCCATCTTGGAGGCCTATGCAGGAAATTGTTCAATGGCGGTTGTTGCTGCTGTGGCTCCCGCTACTCTTGTTTTGCTGCTACTCGTGTCGGCGGCCGCACAGTAAAGCCGGGCAATGTTGTGCCCGGAAACAGTGACGTGAGATGTTCTGCTTGTGGCGGGTAATTTGAAGTGCGCTAACCCGATGCAGATCACTAAAATGTGATTTTATTTCGAAATAAGCATTTCCTTGGCACAAAAGTCGCACTACAAAATTTCTGGACCACTATTTGAACAATAAACGTCAATTTAATAGTTGCCTTCAGTGTCCCTTTAACAGCAATTCTATTCAAGTTTTTCCACGAATTTACTGGGAGTCTACTGCATTTGCATTATTTTCTAACGTAGCTGCCTCATGTTCTTTAATGACTTTTAGTAGTTTTTGTGGCCCACCAACAACCTCACTATGCAATATTTGTCAAATCAACAAGCTATTTTGTACTTTATGTATTTAATGACACTTAGGGTTATATTCATGTAACATTGTTATTGTAGATTCTCTTCTCTCTAAAGCTTCATCAATAAGCCTTTTATCTATACTCGGGACGTACAAATTATGTAAGGGCACAAATTACGCAAGTAAATACGGTAAATGGCACTGTCTGGTATTGCGGCTCGGCCTGAGGTGTTGTGACACCGTCCGGGACGGTGGACGCCGATCACTCGATAAGCTGCTGTGTGTGGCGAGCGATAGGGCCACCTCACAGAGTGGATGTCTCCTTGCGGCTGCCTCTACTGCGCCTAGGCTGGGTGCTGTGTGGATGCCGGTTGTTGTCAATGACTCATTAGGCCTAAGGCTCTGCGTAGCCGCCTGTCTTACTTGGCACAACTAGGAGGATTGTGGCGTTGAGGTGTTGCACTTTGCTTCCCTCGGCTTTTTTTTTTTCTCATGTTGTGATGCGCGAGTCAGCAAAAAGTGGTTTTTCTTTTATTTTGTTGGGCATCTCGGCCTACCCCGATGTATTAGCTAGCCGTACTGACCATCGTACCACGTGGGCGAGGAGCCCGAAGCCCCTTTCCCTTTGGCTACTGCATTGTTCTTTCGAGTGTTTTGGAATGTACGCAGCGGGAGTGATGTAACCCGCGGCTGGCTGTCTTCTGCACATCATTAGCGCCGCTGGCTAAGAATGCAATTGTGAGGTCGGGCGATGGACATGCCTGGCACCTGCGCAACTGCCTGCAGTCCGGTACCCTCGTGAGTGCTGGTCGCAACCGGAAGACGTGTCGGCACGAGTGACGATTTGTCGGGCCGACGGCAACGTTGCTGTTGCGGGACCGATACTGAGGTGAAGTCGTCGAGCCGGACAGTGCAGCAGTGTCGACCGGGGGGCAGTGTCGTCGTACATGGCCATTATGTAGAGACATGGGTTGTTACGTTTTGTTAGAGCTTGTGTAGCGGATTTCTTCTCTTTTCGGAATATGGTTTGAATTAAGGTTAGAGGAATGTGGGATGTGGGGATGCTCGCACCCCCTGTAAAGTTGTTTGCGCCGCGTGGCACATGTGTCTCGCTCGAAAGCCGTATATCTGGGGTGACAACTATTGAGCGATAGGTGGCGTTGTGTTTGCGAGCGGTGATCCCCACTTATAGTGGAGCCCGCGTATAACAAACCTGAGCCTGACGCGGTATCCGTTCGCTGTATCCCGAAGGTCGTAATAAATGAAACACATGTTTTAAAAAAGTTGTGAGTGAAAACACGCTTTTTTGCCCAAAAAAGTCCTTGATGCACATGTTTAAAAGGGCAGAAACGATAAGGGCGGTCTTGAGTTTATTTCAAACGGCAGCGTGCTCGTTCGCCAAGGCCCGTAGCATAAGCTGCATGAGGCGCTGGCTCCAAAGTTCGTCGTTCTCTCAATCCGTTTCCTCCAAATCGCTCTTGCCGCGTACTTCATTCACAATGCCTTAATCCGCCGTCCCCACCGCCCACGAAATATTCAGCATCTCCACAGCTCAATACAGGGACCACCGAAGCGGCAAGTTGGCTGCCAAGTGGTTAACAGCTATGAGCAAGCACTCCACAACGCGGCACCTAACGCGCGGATTACGCCCAAGCCAAGCGGTCACACTTTCGACGTTTTGTTGAGCGGCAGAAAAAAGCATGCAAGTCCTCCCATCTGCCATCCTGACCACACAAGAACACTAAGAGCGAGCAAGATGCGCACACGCGACATGCATGCCAGAGAGCGTCGAACAGCTCTGGGCCCGTTTCTAGTAGAAAAACAAGCTTCTGAATTCGAGCTAGCGTGGCTGGCGTCGCGGAACGGTGTAGACGGGCGAAGGGGTTGTGATCAAGAGAGGAGAGTCGCTTTGCAAGAGAATGGAAAGGAGTTGCGATAGAGGGAAAACAGGCGAGGATACGGCAGGATGGCGACCTTGAAAACCAAAACACGCGGGGAAAAGGCAGGTCGGGTAGCTTGCTTGAAAGGTCTGCAAAACGCGCCACTCACGCGTACTATATCTTGAAAGAGTGCCTGAGCACGCAGAGGTCAGGGCACAGCCGCCTGGATCGGCGTGCCCGGCGGTGTTCAAAGAATCGGTGACTGTGGCAAAAAGTCGTTTGTTGCACCGACGGGTTTAAGTAACCTCACCGACTTCGATATTTCGCGATTCATTCCGCTCAAATTAACAGCCGTTTTCGTGCTTCCAGCACACGTGCGGAGTGGATGCTGAGCCGAGTGTGCAGCGAGTGAGAACAGGTCCTAAACACGAAACGAATTGCGAATCATCAGAATCGGTGGGATAGCGTACGTGCGTGCCCTAGACGTAGGCGATCAGATAGAGTCGATGGCCGACGATGTTGGCAAATGGTCTGGTCACTCCAGGCCAGCGACGCCAACGACAGTACCAGCGATCAAAAACAGGGGAGATGGCGGACCGGCTTTCAAAAGATCGGTGGCAGTGTGAAAGCACAGGCCTCGTCTGGCGACGCAAGGTGCTCAGAGTAGCGGGAGGACAAAAAGGTGCGTAACAAAAAGTGGCCGGGGATAGTAGCAACTAGGGGGGCGCGGAGGCAGGGTCGGCATTTAACAATAAGAATGTATGGGCGCCTCGCCGATGCCTGATGGGTGGTCGAAAGTGGTTTTCCGGGAAGTCGGCAGAGCGCTGACCCCGTTCGCTGTAACCGATCGGCGGCACTCGGAGACGTTCATTGTAAGTGCGATTTTGTGCCATTAAACCAATGTATATTTTCACAGTCACGCGGATATTCTTCGTTTTAAAAGGGACCATTATATGTGGGCTCGACTGTATCATCATCATGGTTGGTAGAGCGGTAACGTCGGCGGTGACCTCTGTCAGAAGGAAAGCCTTGGTGGCAGGCGAGAAACTTGAGCGAGTCTCTGTTCAGGTGGTGGCGTTTGGCGTGAACAGTTGCTCTCGCGACGTGTCCCCGGTACACGGCAACGCGGGCCGTCTGTCAGGGGCTCGCACGGTGAGTCAAGCGTTGGCGATGCCGCCTTTTGTGTGCTCTTGTGTTTCTATGTGCTGAGTAATATTGTGTAAGGATGTCTTAGTGGGTCGATCACGATTGATGTTATATAACAATTCGGCTGACGATATCGATGATCAAAAGTAGCTAAATAAATGTGTGTATTGGTTGGTTAGTTCCGACCGTGTCTTCAGTGTTTGTTCACTCCAAGAGTGTGACGCTCGCCATTTCAAGACCCCACAAGTTCGACACTCAGCGTTGCCCAATTGAGTCAATATAGAACTACTCTGGAGGAAAACCTCCCCACAGGGCCCATGCATTAAGGGGAGACACGGGTATGGGAGGCCGAACATTTTCCGAAAAACCGATTTTTTGAAGTATTTTTTTTTTCATAATCATTAAGGTCTAAGGAAGCTGTTCCTAAAATATTGTAGCCCTGCAATGCGTATTTGTTGAGTTATTGGGTCACAAAGTCAGTTTTGATGACCATTTTCGCTTCCGAAACCACTTCAAAAACGGTCGTATTCAACGCCGCAGCGCGCGAGAACCGCACCAAGTAGCGCGTCCATTTTGGTCTCATTTTAAAGACGCATTTTTCTATTATCTGTTCCTAGCAAAAGAACGTTTTTCGTCTAGCAACAACGCAGCTATCGCGCATAAAGAAAAACTGAATACTCGCACATCATTGGTGCGTTTTTGTCACCTGGGGCAGTTCCCGGTTTCCTATTGGACGCAAAGGGATTCATTCGTCTGCTAGACAGCGGCGTGCAAGCCGCCATTTTGCGTAGAGGCCTAACAACGGCTGTGGATTCGGTGCAATGGCAGGCGGTCATCGGAAGTTCCGGAGTGCTCATGCGTTCGGAAAAAGGCGAAAACGGCGTCCCAGAGCCCGCATTTTATCACCAGCGAGACCTTCTGCCGCCGAGAACTAGGAAAAAGCAGGCTGTGCCAGCGCTATCACCGCCGCGGCACCCGCGATCCCTCGCGATAGCCGCGTCCCAAGATCACAAGAGAGCTGTGCGCGTCGACACTCCCCTGGTTTCCGACGCTGAAAAAGTGGCCATCGAGTGTCATGCGAGTGATGTTCTGCAAGATCTTTCAGCGAAGTCTGCCACAAAACGCAAGCGGTTTTTTTTCGAGACTCAGATGGAGTCGCAATGTACGCCGTTAACCGTCGTTAGCTTAGAGTTGGTCAACGAACTTCTTCAGTGTATGAAGTGCGGTGTGTGTGGCGGGCCTGGAAGGATCTACAAGGAAGACCGCGAATATGGCATAGCCGCGAAACTTGTTCTCACATGTGACGAGTGCGGTAAACTGAGGACCGTATGGAGCTCGCCGAGAGCAGGGGGGGACGCAGCGCACGGCCCCTTCGAAATTAACGTGCTCGCGGTTCGCGCAGCAATGAGCCAGGAAACAGGCAAACTGCGCTCAACGATATTTTTTCCGCCCTAAATATTTCATGGAGAGACCTGCACACCAAGACATACCAAGATTATGTGAAATTGAAAATGAACCCTGCCGCGCGCGTTATTGAAGACTGCGCGAGCACTGTGAAAACGGTGTATTCCGAACTAAACTATGGAAATCCTGGAAATATCGCCGTTTCCTTTGATGGGACTTGGCTGACCAGGGGCCACTCATTCCATATTTGTGCAGGGACCGTGATTGAACTATTCACGGGTTATGTGCTCGACTTCGTCGTCCTATCAAACTTTTGTTTCGGCTGCCAGCTAGGGCCCAAAGAGGGCAACCCAAGGTATGCCGAGTGGCTAGCTGGTTACACTTGCCAAAAGAATACCTCCAGTAAGCCAGGACAAATGGAGGTGGAAGCAGCACAAATTTTAGTTGGCCGCTCATTGGAGAGACATGGGCTCTGCTACACAACCATGTTGTGTGATGGAGACAGCCGGGCCTTCAACAGTCTGCAGGAGGCACAGGTTGGCTTTGTGCCAATAGAAAAAGAGGACTGTGTCAACCATGTGCATAAGTGCATGGGCACAGCACTTCGAAACCTCCTGCAAAAGCAATGAGCCGAAGGAAAGCCAAGCCTTGGCGGCAAGGGCAAACTGACAGGCGAGCTGGTCACAAAGCTCACGTCATATTATGGATGGGCTTTACAAAGCAACCAAGGAAGCATTGAGGCCATGAATAATGCTGTCTGGGCAACCTTTTATCACGTAGCATCTACTGATGCAAGCCCTCAGCACTCTCATTGCCCAACTGGTGAAAAGTCATGGTGCAAGTACAACAAGGCTGTTGCCAAGCAGGAGACTCATCCGAATCATCGCTACAACCTGCCGGAGTATGTGGTTGATGCCTTGCGGCCTATTTACACGCGCCTTTCTGACAATAATTGCTGGAGCGTTGTCAGTGAGGCAAAACACAGAACCCAAACGAGAGCCTGCACTCCGTCATCTGGTCGCTCGTGTCCAAAAACAAACACGCGTCCCTTTTCACCGTTGCTGTGGCCGAAGCTGTCACAAGGTTTAACGCTGGCAAAGGGAGAGCAGATGCCGCCATATTGAAGGAGCTGCACCTGCAGCAGATTGTTGTGGCCGCTGAAAGATGCTCAAAAAAGGACAGTCGCCGACTAGTGGCATCGGAGAAGAAGCATGAGCATGCTGAAAACTTCAAGCATGCCATAAAAAGAAAGCGCACCAAGGAGAATGATGATGACTACATTCCTGGTGGCTTCTAACATGGTTAATACACCGATTCACACCTTTTCTTGTTAAATATAAGTGCTCAGCATGTTCCTAAACTTCTTTTCTCTCGTTTTCTCAAAACAACATTTTCATCACACCCTAAGCCATTACCCACAGTATCTTTTGATGTAGCAGTCGGATTTTGATAATTCTTGCAGCATTTGAAAGCTTATACATTGATTAGTGCAAGAACACCAAAAAAATGTAATAATTTTATTTACAATAGTGATTTAATTAGCAACAAACTTAAGCAACAGTTGCAGATTTCTAATGAGTATACTTGTTAAGGCCATAACTCTGGTACCAATGAAGCTAAAAATAAAATTATGGTTTTGTTGCACTCCCTGGCCTTCATGGAATGCTGTCATATCAAATTTGTAGCAATATTTTATGAGGTACATGTAAGATGTCAAAAGGCTGGGCAGAACGCAAGTTTATGTAACAGTCAATATTTAAAAATCTAAAAGTGATAGCAAAAAACTAATTGCATATTTGTTTTCAGCTGTGAAAAATACATATTGTATTAAAATTTCAGCTGGAAATACTGAAAATTAAAAAAACAAACTTTTAGACCAGTGTCTCCCCTTAAAACCTATAACCGCACGAGCACCGCCATAAATAGATCGATGCACAGCTTTCGGGTGGTCTCACTTGCACTCGCAAGTGCATGCTTCTATCTCCCCTGGCATTTTTATGTTTCGTGGCTCTCTCTTTTATTGCACTTAAAGACTGTCACACAAAGCCAACTTGATGGCTCATGGCAGCTAAATACACGGACGGCGAGACACTACGATTCACCCAACACGCGAATCTGCACAATCGACCCCACGGCCACGCAATCGTCCTCAAATGTTGATACAATAAGAGTATATAGTGGTGCCATCTGGCAAAAAAAAAAAAAAAAAAAAAAAAAAAAAAAAAAAAGCTTCACTCCTTCTCACGCACAGCGAATTGCATAAATGACCACTGCATCTTCCCTAAAAGTAGTAAATATAAACAGCAAACAATTACGTCCACTTATAGTTAGTTGCTTGATTGATATGTGGGTTTAACGTCCCAAAAACACCATACGATTATGAGAGATTCTGTAGTGGAGGGCTCTGGGAATTTCCACCACCTGGTGTTCTTTAATGTGCACCCAAATCTGAGCACACGAGCCTAGAGCATTTCCGCCTCCATCGAAAATGCAGCCGCTGCAGCCGGGATTTCATCCCATGACCTGCGGGTCAGCAGCCGAGTACCTTAGCCACTACACCACTGCGGCGGAGCATTTATAATTAGTTCATGCAGTTTGATTTATGCTGCCTGAATTTGAGCGTTTTATACTTCTACATTTAGCACTACTCTGAAGTATTGTTATGGCAACAATGACGTTCCAAGATGTCAGCACTTTGGTGGTTACAGCTTTTCCAGGCCAGCTTTTCCTCTAGAGTCTGTAATATAGCCTCCATGAGTTACCTGGTGTAAGTACACACTGTGACCGAACCTGCCACGGTCTAGAACATCAGTACATGCCGAGAAGAGGAAAGCAGACAGTGCTTACCTTGAGAAAGTCCTGTGCCCTTGCTTTTGCAGATCTCTGCTTGTTCTAACTTTTCTGGGGCATCCATCTCCCAGGACTCCTTGACCTGGAACATGTTTGTGACACGTTGGAGAGATTTAGCACGACTTAATAGCTCTGAGAATTTACAACACACATGACAAAGGGCACCATTTCAACAGTGTAACACACTAAAAAGTAACAGAGGAATGCAATAATACTACATTTAAAAAATAAGGCGACACAAGGTTGGTATAGTGAAACATAATATCCAAGATTACCAATGAAGTATCATATGCTTTACATATATAAAGCAGCTCTATCAAGGAGTGTGCATAAAATTAACTATAACCACATTAATGCAAAATGTATCGAGAATTTTACTGTGCTATGCCCACAAAGTGAGACTTACAGACAGAAAACCACTCTTGGAATTGTTTCTAACACTAAAAGGACATCTGTAGTAATTGAAAGTGCATCACGAAACAGAACAAGATACCAATCACTTGAAAGTCAAAATATGCCTAATCTAAAGCTCAGCTGAGAACCACCCAAGTCTTGAAATGTCTCTCAAAATGTCTCTCTGATGTTTGAAAATACACTGTTCTGTTCCTTCAGAGGTCTCGTCAAACAAATTAAAGCTCGCTTACTTATCATCTGTGCCTTCTTGTAGAATGTGGGATTTTATTTTGCCTACTACGTGCTACAAAAAAGAGATATGCGAATTAATGATGTCGATGTGGGTGCTTTCTATTTAACAGCCCCAGCTTCTCAGGGTACACGTTTTTTGCAGCTTAGAAAACTGATCGGAAGTCAGACTTTTTTTGAGCTTAACTAAAGACAGTGCAAAGTGGTGAGGCTGCACCTACAATGGCAAGGTTTTTGAAACCTTACTGGAAGTTTTGAGACATGAGCACATATAAATAATTATTGATAAACTTTATTTAGTCATGCACAGAGTTTCAGTTTAGCCCTACCCAGATATGATGAATCTTTGGGGGGTCCCAAAACAATTTACAAAATAATAATCTGATACTATGAGATATACAGGGTGCAAGTAGCGTGCCTCATTGCTAGATAGTAATGTGCATCACCGCATTACACCACTGTGTTTCAGTGAAGCTTAATGCAGAGACGAACACCGGGGAGCAATTACCGTAATTACTCGAATCTAACGCGCACCTTTTTTCCGGTTAAGCGAGTTTATAAATTGCATGCGCGTTAGAATCGAGTACGAACAAAAAAAATACGGTCAATCTATTGCCATCGGCAAATCCAAAATGGCCGCCCCCTACGTGCGTCGGCATGGCGCGTCGGCCATTTCTGCCTATGTGTTTCCCATGTGCGGCACTTCGTACGTGTGCTGAGGAGTTCGTCATCTAGTAGTGCATTAGCATCGACGGCGTGGAAGGGCCGACTACAAAAACTCGATAGCACCACGATGCCGCTTTTAAAAGAAAAGTTATGGCGTGTGCAGAAACGGAGGGAAATCGGGCCGCATCGCGATCGTTCGGAGTTCCCGAAACGTGCGTGCGAGACCGGCGGAAACAAAAGCAGAAGATTCTCGACAGCAAAGCTTCACGCAAAGGCTTCAGTGGACCACAGCAGGGTCGGTTTCTGCAAATTAAAGAGCTGCTCGGCAAGTATGTGCTTGAGCAGCGAGCGGCACAGCGGCCCGTGACGACAGAACTGCTCCAAGTACGGGCTATGCAATTAGTCTTGGAAAAAAGGCTAATGCGGAGCCAGTTTAAAACGAGCAGGTGCTGGCTAACTAAACTAACTTTATGAAGAGGAAAGGATTTTCCCTCCGAAGGCGAACGGGCATATGCGGAAAGTTTCCGGAGGAGTAAGCTTTACAGTTTTTAGAGGTTCGTCAAACTTGGGGCACAACAACGACTACCTGCTTGGGCAAATCGGGAATGCTGATCAGACGCCTCTTCGACATGCTTGGCACCACAACCGTCGAGAAGAAGGGGGCGAAGCAAGTTCGCGTGCTGACATCGGGCCACGGTAAAACAAGAGTGACGAAATGCTCCGTTGCACGTCAGACAGGCACAAGCTTCCCCCATACCTCATATTTAAACAGAAGACGCTCCCGAAAGGAGTCGTTTTCTCGAGTGGTGTGATCGTGCGAGCCAACGAGAAAAATGGGTGCGCGTTGCAATTTATGTCTTACGTTTTTTTTTTTTTTTCCGCGGTGGAAATCGGGTGCGCGTTACAATCGAGGGCGCGGTAGAATCGAGTAAATACGGTATTTTCTTTTATGTGAAATGTCTTTTATGAGCAGGTTATCGCTTCTACATTTTCTTGTCAAAACCCATTTCAATGTAGGCGCAACGGTGTTTCTTATACCCGATTGTCTCTTATATCAGGCTTCGACTATATAGCAACGCCGTCATAGTAAGCGACATTTATAGATCCTTTTTTGCCCTTTCCATACAAACTTCATGAAAGACACTTTGCTCATTCATCCTACAAGAGATGTAGGAAATCCCCCTTCAACTTCAATTCTTTTTTGAACAGAATCTGCTTAAACAGTGCTGTTGCATAGGCTAGATTCGTTCCAATGACGTGCTGTGCAATCGCGTTCAAGAGAGGCAAACCTGCTGGGACACCGAGCAGCTTTTGAATTATGCATCTAAAGCGGCAGTAAAGGCCCTTAATGCACCCATAGCTCAGCACGTTTGCACGAGACTTTCAATGAGATGCTAAGACTGTTTGATACCTAATAGTTTGATGCACCGAGTTTCATTACATTACTGTACTAATCATCTCAAGTAAACTTTTTGCAGCTCTTTTGGGTGAGCGTGGCGGATCAAAAGCGTTTAGCATTTCAGTGCTTTTACAATTTTCTGTCCCCACTGCGCTGGATATAATATGTCACATCAATGCCAGCAACAGCATGTTTCGCTTCTGCTACAGAAAATATTGTGCTTCATAAACACTGTTCCCGTAGGCTTGACTGCATCAATTAAAAAAAAAAAAACTATCAAAGGAGGTAAATGTTGCCAGTAAGAGACGACACAAGAAAAATTGAAATGGTTCGCTCTCAATAAAGAATATTTTGACGAAGTTCATTGGTATATCTGGGAAGATTTTTTTTTGCCATGGAAAGTATAAAACTAGACTTGTATGAATAACACTTTTGTTGGGTAAAAGTACCTAAGCTCGAAACAAACGGCAGTTAGTATACAATAACATAAAAGTGAATTTTAGTAGTAGCATGATAAGATTATTAGGAAATCGAAAGTTATAGGCAACATGCTGCATTTTTAAATTTGCTGTACTTGGCCAAAATAAGTCCATATAACAGGCTTCCAAACTTTAAAAGAACTTTATAAGGGTCTTGGTAACATGCACACTTACGATCGGCAGTCGAAACTCCCGAGGACATGCAAGCCAAATATTAGAGCGCAAGACGCGGCCTGGAATTTACAATAAATTCTCAAAGTCTGCATAAAATCGCTTTCTCTTCTCTCAACAAGTGATGCTGCGTACTGAAAAATCACTGCGTCACAGGCTATAAGCCCATCTCATCTACAGGCTGATTTGAGCATGGCGCTCTCTGTTGTTACTGTAGTCTCTGCAGGTAGGCCACGACTTGTCATTGCATGCACGATCGCACTGAAGAGAGAGAGATAGTGCTCAGTCACAAGGCTGCATTACATACCTTCTCTCCCCCTTCCCTCTGTGCAAAGTTTGCAGCACTTTCGTAGGGACGAGAGAAAGAATTTACAGCTTGTTACAAATCTTTGCAACTCTGCTCGTACTGGACGGATTCATAAAATTCTTGTGGCTGTCAATTCGCAAGGCAATGACCTACTTCAGTGAATTCATTGCGTGGCTATACTTGGAAAAGTGTTGCCGGGCCCCTTTAACGAGTGGCTTCGCGGGAGTGTGGAATGACACAGCATCCCAATGCTGCAGTGAAGCCACTTCTTCAAGTGGGTTACATGTGGTAAATTGAGTGTCTTTCACATTTTTTATAATTTCAGAATTAAGTTTTGAAGCAAGTTCGTGTACGGTAATCTTCATTTGAATATTTAGGCCCACAAATAGTCGCACAGACTTAGTCAAAGCCACTCAGTTTATCAGCTGCTTGGCACAACAAGACAAAAGAAACAATTATTACACCCCGCCCCCCATCTTTGTAATTTTATACATCACTGTTTTACTGAATTTCCATTTTGCTTGTTCTCAGTCCCACACTGTCCGCCACTTTTCATAACAGAAGGAGGGAAAAGAGTGCATGAGCGACCACTCACATTCTCAAAGCTCTTCAGGGTGACCTCGTATTCGACCGTTGCATCAGGTGGGATGTTGAACTGTGGGTTGCCAGCTGCGCCAAAGGCCTTGCTGGGTGCAATCCGCAGAAGGGACTTCTCCGCCTTCTTGAACTTCTGCACGCCCTCTTCCACACCCTTTATGACACCATGGTCCGCTCCTTCGCCAATCACAAACTCAACATCTCTCTCTTCAAACACACGGTTTTCGTACAGGCCCTTGAGGTGGACTGAAGAGATAAAAGCAGCAGGAAGTTAGATATGACAAACTGATTTTCAAGCTCATCCCAAAGTATTCAGACTCCCAAATTTCACGTAACATTTAAAGGCTAACTGCAATGAAATAATGCACGCCTCAAAAAGCTGATTTATAGAAAGTCTAGCTGGTGACAATGCTGCCTGCCAAGTTTCACCTTCGAAATGCAAGTGATCACCTAAGAAAAAAAAACTCCCCAACAGTGCAATTTCTGATACCGAAACTATGAAAAACGATGCAATTAAAGCCGACTGTAAATGACGTAGAAAGCAGTTTGACAGACTGGCCGACGCAGGCGAAGCGTCTGCCCTGTGCTCTGCAGTATGTGCTTCACTGACGCGCCCCACAGTTTTCTCTTTGAATTGTAACGAAAATGCAAACAGTGTAAACATGCACCGTGAACGTTACATGATTAAAAGCTTGTTACAGTGCATATCTAAATAATGGCTGCTCGCATCGTGCCTAGCATCTTGTCCTGCTGTCTTGGTGAACTCGCTGGTTCACAATAAATGATGCACTCGGGTAGGCTTTGGATATTCTCATTACATTGGTATACTGTAATACGAATGCGTTACTTTCGGTACCGATGCTCAGTTTTGCAGACTCCCATGTCTACAAAAAGTGTCCCTGCATTTGTGTGAATACTTGTCGGATTGTGCCCAAAGCATTTCTGTTGAACCTTGTGGGAATTGAGGCCAGCCCACTGTCTTTGCGCGGGCTTTGCCCCCTATTTCTGCCGTTCTCATGCCCGACATGACTCCAATCGGCTGTCTGCCACGCTGGGAGAGTGAGGAATGATGCTTAGCCCCTCTCAAACCGGCAGCGGACGTCAACTGTGGCGCCGCGCGCAAGGTCTCTTTAGAGGTGTCGCGCACGCACGTCGGGAGCGAGTCAGATTTCTCCAGGGCAGCTTCAGGTGAGCACGAATTCCCTTTTCCGTCCATCGACTCCCGTTGTTTGGGGCTCGCCGGACTTCGCTGACGGCGCCTCACGCCCGAGAAGAACTGCTCAGCTTTTGTTGCCCCTTTGTGTACGCTCAGCCGAAGAGGGTACGCAGTCCTAGTGCATGGCCAAGCTATGCCGACCCGTATCTTTCTGAAGCCAACACGAGCGCCTTTGCCCTCGCTCGAGCAACTGGGCCTTGGTCCCGGTGTCTCCGTGATTTACTTTTACCACAGAGACATGCTCGCGGCACCTTGTGTAGTACTTCTCACTCGTCGTGTGAATAAGCCCATTTGCTTTCTCGCCGCGCCTTTGCAACGGGCTCTGTGCTGCGTTTTGGTGTTGCCACAGACAATAAAAACTAGCGACCTTGAGCAGTATCGTGTTCTCGCCACGGCGATGGTTAACACGTGCCCTGCGGCTCACTAAGACCAGACCCACGCTAGTGGCCGTACTCCTTCGCGATACATGCACACTACACTGGCGCCTCCAAATTTGGAAACCTCTCGGATAGACCTTGCGCGTGGCGCCACAGTCAACATCCACTACCACGTGAGAAGGGTTAAGCGTCACTCCTCGCTCTCCCAGCGCGAAAGACCGCGGAGGTCTGGAGAGTCATGTCAAGACATGGCAACGCAGAAAGAGGCTGGAAAGCCCGTGCAAAGGTGGCGGGCTAGCCTCGATTCCCACAACCTATGGCAGCAGAATCCCTTTTCTTATATTACAATTATGAGATTAAGTTGCTTTGAACCAAGCACGATACGTTTTTGACGAACTTCGCTGCTTTGACTACTCGATCATAGATGACGCAGCTAGTCTAAAATTTCGCAGGGCGTTGTATTGCTGGTTTTGTTTTTTGGAAGGGCGTTACGCTATAACTTAGCGAGTGAAACATGCTAACGCAAGGAGCCTACGCTATACTACAGCTGCCTAATACGAATACATAATACAGCCTAGAATATTTTAAAATTAATATGTGTGTCACACTACTGCACACTTTTCGTTCTTGTTTAAACAACCAACCATCCCTCGCATCATGAGTATATATTGGATGCTGCGATCCTTGTGAGCACACTCTTCTAGCAGACCTCCTCAACACATTTGCACAAAAGAACAAAGGCTGATGTCCTTGCCCCAGCAGTGCATTTTTTGTGGTTTCATGCATATTCACACTTCTTGAAACCTTCGTTGGAAGTTGCCTGCTCACATAACAAGCGATGCTTACACAAAAACCGCTCTGGTCCTGCCTCACTCTGTGCTCCCTGAAACCAAAGCTTCAAGTAAGTTCTATAAAAACTATTTTCAAGTAATTAACCACTGCACAATTTAGCAAATGAGCTTTCCAGCAGCAATATGTGGGTCATTTGCTGCCTATTGCAGCATAAAAAGAAGACGTGGAATTTTTGTATCAGTGCTCCTTTAAGTGTGAGTAATGAATCCCCCCCCCCCCCCCCTCAGATGTTTTTCATGCAATGAGAGCTCTAAAAGCATGAAAATACTAAAGAAGGGCTTGCCGTACACTCGCCTTGATGTATTCACAACAGAGGAGGAGGATTGAAAGAGGAAGGACAGGGAGGTTAAAATATTCACAACCGATGTCACAAATACTCCAAGGGCATTCAAATACACAGCTTATTTAGCACTTTCCGAAACATGTGGCCCACTTGCCGATCACCCACTCACCTCTTACGGTGGATTCCTCCTTTGGAGTCGTGTAGAGTTGACCAGCAGAAAGAATCCTGCGCTGAACACTCCCGTCATTGTCCACGCTGATGTCCTCCAGTTTCCAGTCGAGCAGCTCGACCTCGAAGATGAGCGTTGAATTAGGCGGGATCTTCGGTGGGCTGCCCTTGTCGCCGTAGGCATAGTCGGGTGCACAGGTGAGAATGGCCACCTCCCCTTTCTTCATTGTCTTGACTCCGATTTCCCATGCTTTGATCACAGACCCTGCGCACAAAGTGGCCAGGCACTCAATCGCGGGGGCAGTAGAAAGCGGCAACACGTACCGCATGAACGAAACTAGGGAAATTTTTAAGGGATTATTTTTTTTCTTCGTTAGGCACAACATTAACAAGAACAGTCAAGAACACGGAAGGCGTCGAGTCCGTGTTTTCTAGATGTTTCGCGGCGGAAATCACCATGTCCAGCGTATTTGTCGTTACGAATCGACGCCACAAGTCATCGCGACCATCCTGACGAAAAATCAGGTGGGAGGACTTGCATTTGACCATTTTATGTCCGTTTTTGTGTTCGCTGCGCCGGAAGAAGAGCCACCTGCATAGCGTTCGCCGTAGACACCGCCGTCACCGCTGCGACGCAGCTAGCGTCGCGAGGAACCACGAAGAACGTGGCACCGTTTTTTCTTCGCGGTGTGCCGACAAGACGCCGGGTGAAGACTTTGAGGGCTCGGCGCCCTACAGGTACGAGGTTCCGTTATCAAAGATTTGGCTAGTACGCGACCACTACGGTGGTTGGTAGCCATCGCCACGAGCCTTATGCTCGTCCAAGTGCGTTAAACCACATGAGTGATACTGCAGGACACAATGAAAAGCCTGGGGGCTTACAGGTGCGTCCAAGCATCATAAAGCCGGCACGTTTGCAAATTCACAACCGCGAAATGGCTCAAGCGAGCACAGCAGCATTGGAAGACGATGAAGCTGAGAGCAAGAAGCCTCGCTTAGAAGAGAATCCTCTCGACGATAAAACGTCAACTTATCACCTAAGTGATGAAGAAGACATGGGCGAAGATGAACCATTTACGTTGGTTACTTATAAAAAGAAACGAGCAGAGGGTATCCCAGTCGTCTTTCGTCCAACAGCTGAAGGTGCTAGCTTCTGGAAAGTGAACCCCAATCGAGTGTCAGCTGAAGTAGTTTCCGCTGCTAAAGAAAAAGTGCAGTCATTCAGAACGACCAGAGATGGAAGCTTTAGTGTCAGCGTTGCTTCCTTAAGTTCAGCTAAGCGACTTCTGATGCTTTCAAATGTAGGCGGCCTGGAAGTTAAGCCTTTCATCCCAGAGTCATACACTCGGAACGTTGGGAAAGTAAAACATGTTCCTCTGCAGTATTCAGACGAACAACTCAACAAAGTACTTGAGAGATGCAGGGGTTATATCGGCGCGACGGCAAATAAAATACTACCGCCAGGAAGATGGAGGAGTAACGACGCGTTCACTTCACTCAGTGATCCTGACTTTTCGAGATGACCGCCCGATTCCAGGAAGAATCTACTTAGGATTCACCAGTCACCCAGTGGAAGAATATCTTGGTGCAGCACTTCGGTGCTATAACTGCCAGCGATTCGGACACATGGCGAAAAGTTGCCGTAACACACGCCGGTGTAAGATATGCTCAGAAGAACACCATCATAAGGAGTGCAAGTCTGTTCTTCAGCCTAAGTGTGCAAACTGGGAGGTAATCACGCTGCCTCATATTCAGGCTGCCCGCAATGTAAAGCTGCTGCAAAAATGCGTCAGCATGAGCTCATCCATGGAAGAAAACCACGCCCCAATGAACCATCTCCAAACCTTGAGATTGTTCATCCTGTACGTGATCCACCTCAGCGGCCACCGCAACAACAGCCGACAAGCACGCCAAGAGAACCGCCAAGAGAGACGCCAAGAGCACACTCGAGAGACCACTCACGAGAAGTACCTTCAAGTAACCCAACCTACGCGTCAAAGCTACGAACGCCCACGGGACCTCTGCCGGAAAGTAGCAAAACCGACAGTGCCAGTGTTCGCCCCAAAACGCCACATCATTCTCAACAGGCCTCAGAAAATCAGCCATTCAATGGAGACCGTGCCTCTGCATCAGTCATGCAATTGATTCTGCCAATGCTTTTCGCAGCACTTAAGGCAATCCTGTCTGCTTTACCGGAAGCTAACAACCTGCCAGAAGTAAAAGCCCTGCTGCCTCTGGAAGCACTACTGTGTCAACAGTCCGGGTCAAACCTGCGACAAGTAACATATGAAAAAGCGCTACAAAGATGTCTCCATATACCAGTGGAATGCCAATGGTCTTCGAAGGAAGTGTGCTGACTTCCGTAAACTCCTTCTGCAGTATAACTTTCCAATACTTTGCATCCAAGAGGCAGGAATGAATGATGATTTCCGCCTCTCCAACTACGTGATATATAAGTCATCTCGTCGAAGTGGTCCTAGCAGAGTACATTTGTGCATCAGAAAGGACCTACCTTCTCATCAAGTTAACTTAAGTGATTCGGACTTCCCGGAATTCGTCGCTTGCAAAGTATCTTTTGGTGAGCAGTACTTTACAGTGATCAATTTTTACCTACAACCTTCAAGCCGCATTTCGGTGGAAGAGCTAACAAATATCTTCAACATTTCTAATTCATATACGTTTATATGCGGAGACTTTAATGCGCACAACATAATCTGGGGTAGTGATCGATGTGATGCACGTGGGAACATTGTTGAGTGTGCCGCAGACAAATGCAATTTGACAATTTTAAATGACGGCTCCCCAACTTTTCTCCGAGGGCATAATTACTCTAGTTGCATCGATGTAACCTTGTGTTCCCAAGATCTAGTGAATGGTGTGGTATGGACGACGGATGTAGAAACACGTGGAAGTGACCATTTTCCCATTCTAATAAGTCACCCCTACTTGCGAAAAGACGACACCAGACGCTACAGCAAATTGACGAACTGGAAAGCTTTTCGGCACCACATAACAAACCAAAATAGTGAACTCACGACAGTTGAAAGGTTTACTGAATTTCTGCAAGATAATGCGAATAAATGTACAAAGAAAGTCCCGATTCCAAAAGACTATGCTGCAGTCGATGGAGAGTATGAACATCTAAGAGCCATCAGACGACGTTCAGAAAGGGCATATCGACGCAGCGGAAGTTTAGAAGCATACAAAAATGCACAGAAAATCCACAGTGTAATGCGCAGACGGCTAGAAAATTTAGGTAAACGACGCTGGCGTGATTTCTGTGGCACGCTCTCTCCCCACACACCTGTTCCAAGAATTTGGCTTGTAATTCGAGCACTTAGTGACCCTGTATCACAGAGCTTCCAATTTCGTGCTCTTGCTGTAGCTTTGGACAAACCGGAAGCTGTGGTAGCAGATGAATTTTGTCAACTTATCAGTAGGCCTGCCGCATCACAATGTGCCTTATTTGATAATTCTGTTGCATTAGCCAGCCAGAAAATTAATGCTTGCTTTTGGGCCCAGCATCCTCAGCTAGACCCTGTATTTACGTTAAGGGAGCTGCATTGTGCTATAGCATCATGTCGTCAAAAATCGGCCTCTGGACCGGACGGCATTACGTACAATATGCTAAAGAACCTTGGGCCCACAGGCACAACTATTCTCTTAGATATTTACAATAATCTATGGACGCAAGAAATTGTACCCGAGTCTTGGAAGTCTGCTCGCATCATTCCGATCTTAAAACCGGCTAAGACACCCTTGAACATTGAATCCTTCCGTCCAATCAGTCTGACAAGCTGTTTATGTAAGGTAATGGAAAAAATGATTGATGCGCGACTTCAATGGTGGTGCAACAGAACTGGTGTATTCTCCAACTACTTGACAGGATTTAGGAAACAGAGATGCACAATGGATGCAATACTGGACCTAGTAACGTATGTGGAGCATGAACGCGCCTGTGGTAGTCTGACGGTCGCAGTGTTCTTGGACATCAAAAGGGCATTTGACACAGTCAGTCACACTCATGTTCTGCTGAGTATATTGGAACACGGACTGTCCGGCAGGTCTTTGCGGTGGGTATCCAAATTTTTATCAGGTCGTAAAATATTCATTCAGACAAGCGAAGGAAAAAGTGCAGAACACGACGTCAGACAGGGAGTGCCACAAGGAAGCGTACTCAGCCCTCTTCTTTTCAACTGTGTTATGGCTGATTTAGCTAAAAGACTGCCTTCCAGGTTGAAATACTCCTTATATGCAGATGATGTGTGCATTTGGGCATCTGGCACGGACATACGGTTAATTCAGATTGCATTGCAAGATGGAATAAATATTATCAACAACTTTTTAAAAGAAAGAGGAATGATTCTATCGCACGCAAAGACAGCTGTATTGCCCTTCACCCGTAAGAAGTTAAAGAACTTCAATCTCAATTTAGAAGAAGAACCACTAATGATTGTGACACAGCATCGATTTCTCGGAGTAATACTTGATAGGCAGCTATCATGGGCACCTCACATAAAGAAACTTGAAAACGAGGTGAATACACTAGTGAATATACTCCGCAGAATTGCTGGCACATCATGGGGCGGATCTGTATCATCCATGCTCGCTGTTCACAATGCTTTAATACGACAAAAAGTTGCATATTCTGCAGCAGTGTTACACGGCCTTTCCCGCACTTCAGAGGAGCGACTTCAAAGACTATTAGCTAGGGGACTGCGCGTCTGCATAGGTGTTCCACGAGCGACTTCCAGCAGCCTTGTCATAGCAGAGACTCGACAACCACCCTTTCCAGTCATAAGAACAATTGAAACATGCCGCTATTTTTTTCGCTTACAGACGCAACACAGGGACCACCCATTGGCGCTGGAGATTTTACTAAGAGATAAAAGCAATGCTCATAACGAAGTCCAGAGTAATGTACATATATTACCCAGCCATGAATTTTGGAACTCTGAAATGGACTATCCTCCATGGGTGCTTGTTATACCAACCATTGAATTCTCAGTGGATGGCATTATTAGAAAGAGAGACATGTTCATCCAAGCTGCTCAACAACTAGCGCTTTATCAGATACACATGCGGTATCCAGGGTACATACATATTTACACAGATGGCTCAAGTACTACAACGTCTTCAACATCGGCATTTACCATACCACAGCTCAATATTCAGGAATCGTTTAAATTATGCCGCACGACGTCATCTACAACATCTGAGCTCTTCGCTATTCTGTATGCTCTAAAGTTTATAAACTCGGTAGCA